CTAAGCCCGAAGTCCGCGCCCCATCCCGGGGTCCAGAAACCTTGTCATCTGATGGCCCAGTAACCATACTATGAGCAGGGCTAAGGGTTTAGGGTTTAGGGTTTAGGGTTTAGGGTTTAGGGTTTAGGGTTTAGGGTTTAGGGTTTAGGGTTTAGGGTTTCGGGCTAGGAACTAAGTTGGAGGTTCCGGACTTCGGCTGGCCTGCCGCAGCAGCTGTGCATCCCGCTGTACGTCCAGACCATCGCCGTGCAAAACCTGGGCTGCTTTGGTTTAGGGTTTGGGGTTTAGGGTTTGGGGTTTAGGGTTTAGGGTTTAGGGTTTAAGGTTTAGGGCCTAGGGTTTAGGGTGTCGGGTTTAAGGTTGAGGGTTTTGGGGAGAAGCCGGACCACCCGCTCGAGCTCATGCAATGCGAATCAAATCCTCAACCTTTAACTGTAAACCCTAAACCCTAAACCCTAAACCCTAAACACCCCTACATGTGGCTGCTTGACAGAATTTCCCTCGGCTAGGAGTAGCCGAAGGAACCCAACAAAGCACAGGCAAATTTCACTGTGATTGCCTGTTGGCGACGGTGTGTTCAGGACTGAAGGTCCTAAAGCAAATCCTAGCTGCGTGGCCTCCGTCATGATAAAACACCTTCTGGTTTAAGGCACCTGAAACATGAGTAGCTCTCTAATCCTAAACCCTAAACCATGCTCTAAGGGTAGATACATGGTCCCGTAGTATGGGCCCTTAACACGGGCACCCCTCAAAATATACCCTTTATCTACCCTATACAAACTAAGGGCCCATACTTCAGGACCCTTTAAAGGAGGTTAGGGACCATATTCAGGGACCATGTAACTCCAAACTGACCCTAAACCCTGAACCCTGAACCCTGAACCCCAAACCCCAAACCCTAAACCCTAAACCCTAACCCTAAACCCTAACCCTAAACCCTAAACCCGACCTCCCTTACATGTAAAGGGGGGCCCATGACACCTCAGAGGAGCCCCATTGGCCGTGAGCCTGACATGAGTTTGTAGGGTTTAGGGTTTGGGGTTTAGGGTTTAGGGTTTAGGGTTAGGGTTCAGGGTTCAGGGTTTAGGGTTCGGGGCAAAAAGAAAGTACACAGGTTCTGCTCAAGAGATGGTCCGGTGGCCAGCGCGCCGGGCGACGAAAAGAGACCGACGGTCTTCGACACCTGTCCAAGCCCTAAACCCTAAACCCTAAACGCTAAACCCTAAGCCCTAAACCCTAAACCCTAAACCCTGTACCCTAAAGCCCCAAGCCGTAAAGCACTGAAGCCCTACAAAGCCCAAAAGCCCAACAAAGCCCCGGCCCTAAATCCTCATTATATCTTGTCGAACCCTGCACAGGCTGCGTGCGTTTGCTTTGTCCCTTAAAGCCTAAACTTACACCCTAAAGCCCTATATAACCCGAAGCCATAAGGCACCATCGCCCTATGAAGCCCGAAAGCCCTATAAAGCTCTGAAGCCCTAAACCTAAACCCAAACTAAACCCATATTATATCCTATAGAACCCATGAGCCGATCCTTCGGGACCCGCCCAGCAAGGTAGACGGGGCCCTGAAATCAGGGCATACATTGTCCAGGTTCCACAGTAACCGAGAGGGAAAAGGGTTTTAGGGTTTAGGGTTTAGGTTTGTAGCCAGACGGATTGCAAAAAGGTGTTCTCCATTTTCTTTCTGATCCTGCGATAGTCATCATGCTCCAGCATTGTGGCAAGCGCTCTCCAAGCTGTTAGCCTGTCTCGAAGATCGCAAGCGTTCGATGAAATCGTCACAATAGCTTGCGTGAACAGGTTGAAATCCTGGGTGGGTGCTAATGCGAGGAACTCCTTCATCGTCAAGGGTGCATAATGCCTCTCAAAGATGCTTGTGTCAGGGTTCGCTTCCTTGATAAGATCTTCGAGTTCGCGATAGGCACTCAATCGAACTGAGCTTGCTTTTGTCATGGAAGACCCACGAGCATCAACAGACGACAAACCTCCTGCCACTGTGGTGACGTCAAGCTCCTTCACAACCTCAAGCTGCCGGACTCCGGTTTAGGGTTTAATAGGGTCTATAGGGTTTAGGGTTTAGGGTTTAGGGTTTAGGGTTTAGGGTTTAGGGTACCCTAAACCCTGAAACCCCGAAGCCGTAAACCCTATAGAGCCCTGAACAGGCATAAAACCCTCAGAGTTTAGGGTTTAGGGTTTAGGGTTTGGGGTTTGGGGTTTGGGTTTTGGAGTTGAGGGTTTCGGGTTTATTAGGGTTTAGGGTTTATAAGGCCTTGATGGACATGAAAGGAGCTTTCGCTCCAGTGAGGCCACGCTCAAAGCGCGCGAACCTGGCGCGCTTCGGGGCTCGGGGCTGGCGCGTTGCTGGGGGTTGAGGGTTGAGGGTTGAGGGTTGAGGGTTTAGGGTTTAGGGTTTCCGGACCCTGAGCTCACATGAATGTCTTCCTTCAGATCGTTGTCCCAACCCTCAACCCTCAACCCCCCCAGCAGCACTTCTGGTTCTTGCCCACCCCACACGACCCTAAACCCTAAACCCTAAACCCTAAACCCTAACCCTAAACCCTAAACCCTAATGCACCATATGCACCCTCAGCCTTCAAGACTCCTCAAACTCTAAGCTCTAAGCCAACTTGAAACAGCCTGAACCCAAACTAACCCCGAAACATGAACAAAAGTAAAACCCCAATTGCGGCACAAACCCTACACCGTGAACCTTAGCAGCCTGAGGGGTGGACCACAAATGCAAGGGTTCTGTGGGCTCGGTAAAAAGGCCGAACCAAACAATACAGGGACAAAGCGCACGAGCACTGGACCATCGTGAAGGCCAGAAAAGCTGAAACCAGCACGCAGCCACTCCACAACCCTATACCCTAAACCCTAAACCCTAAACCCCAAACCCCAAACCCCGAACCCCAAACACCAAACCCTAAACCACACCACCCTGGACCTCCAAAGGCCCCCGACCGAGCGTGTTCATTCGGCCCTAAACCCTAGCCCCAAACCCTATTCAGCCCTTAACACCCTAAACCCCAAACCCCAAACCCTAAACCCGAACTCCTCCACCCTTTCCAGCCCAAACTCCGCCAAAGGCGACGTGGAGAGCCAGCTCATCTGCCGCAGGCCAGTGGCAGTGAGCCACCTACGTCAGTCTTAGGGTAGTTTCAGGGTCCCTTGGGTATGGGCCCCAAACCCAAAACCCTTAAACCCTAAACCCTTAGTTGTATTTGACGTTGAGGTCGGCGTCCTGGCTATGCTCGAGGATTCCGAAGCCCTAAACCCTAAACCCGAAACCCTAAACCGGTTTAGACGCCAAGACCCCAGACCTTAAACCCTAAACCAAGGCCGGACTGACGTCACCCTTTCAGAACGAAGTTGGGACCTCAAGCTTACCAGGGTTTAGGCTTTAGGGTTTTTGAGGTTTAGGCGCTTAAACCACTGTGTGTTTCACAAGTAAGGTACGTGGAAACGCAGAGGGAGTGTTTATTTAGGCTGGTGCTTGAACCACTCTGATTTTTTCACAAGTAAGGCACTTTGAAACCCAATAAGGGTATGTATTCATGAATGCAGAAAAATATATTCGTTGCTATATTGTAGATATATAGATATACATATATATATATATATACATATATTATAAACAGAGTTCTTAAGGGAGGGTTTAGGGTTTAGGGTTCAGGGCTAAGCGTGTAGGGATTTCTAGTTTTAGGGTTCAGGGTTCTACGTGAATCCATCCAGCGTTCTGGGTTCATGCGCCCTACATGTGGCCCTCAACGCATGATCACCTCAAAGCCGCACGAGACCCAAAGCCTTAAACGCTTCCACACCCTCCCATTTAGGTTTTAGTGTTCGGGGTTTAGGGTAATCCTAAACTCAACCTATAAGAATCCGAAAACAGAAAGAACAGGACCACCGTCAGGTGAGATGTCGGTAAGGATGTGGTGATGTGACTGTATTCCAAGGTACTCCAGTCTAAACCCTGTTTCTTAAAAGCCAAACACCCCAAACACTAAACCTTAGCCTTAAACACTAAACCCTAAACCCTGAACCCTAAACCCAAAACCCAAAACCTTAGCCTTAAATTTCAACCCCCAAACCCCGGCCCATCGAAAGGCGCGATGAGGAAGACCACGGCAGCACGATTCCTGGAGGAATATTCTCTCCCCCCCCCCGTTTAAAACCCAGCTTAAGCCCCAAAACCATGACTAGGACCCCAAACCCCAAACCCAAAACGCTATACCTTAAACCCTAATCCTTAAAACCCTAAACCTTAAACCCCAAACCCTGAACCCTAACCGCTAAGCGCACAAGGGCTATGGGACTGCGGGCCCTTAGGGCTCTACACGTCTTGGACATCCATTGGCAGCTGGGGCGAAGCGGTGTTTCATGCTTGTAGCGGCTATCCGTTCAATCCTTCATCCGGCAGTGAGGACCCTCCCTCGTTACAGGTAGGAGTTCTCAAAGCCGCGAACTGGGTTTAAAACCCTAGACCCTGAACCGTAAGCCCAAAACACTAAACCCTAAACCCTATAGCCTAAACGCCAAAGCCCAAACCTGCATAGTATATAAGGGGCCTCCCCCTAAACCCTAAACCCTTTTCCCCAGAAAGGAGGCCACTGCTCGCCGCCAGGGGTCGTCATGGATTCCGGCGGGACGTCCGGAAGCGCTAGAAAGCTGTCCGGATCCTGAGTTTTCTGCTTTAGGGTTAGGGGTTTAGGGTTGTAGGGGTTTGGGGTTTAGGGTTTAGGGTTTGGGGTTTAGGGTTTAGGGTTTGGCGTCTACGGCTCGCCTTGTTGAACCTTTAGAAACAGCCAAGACGAACGGCTTCGAAGCAATTTAGGGTTTAGGCTTAGGGTACCTTGGGGGTACATGTAGAGTGTAAGGCTTAGGTTATCGACTGCCGAGTTCGACTTGGGATTTTGGGGTTCACAAACCGAGTCAGAAGAGAGTAGCATGAGCAGCAGAATCCCCCCCCCCCCCCCCCACAGCCAGCAAAAAATGAACTAAACACTAAGCCCCTATTCGGGACGCAGACTAGCTGACATGGGCTATGGCCAACAGTCTTATCTCACCGGAACCCTAAACCCTAAACCCTGTAGCCGAAACCCTGAACCGTAAACCCTAAACCCTAAGCCCCAGTTCAGAGCTTCGTCTTGAATCACTTTCTTTCTGTAGGGTTTGGGCTTCAAAGGCTGGAGAATCCAGGGTTTAGGGCTTCAGGTTTAGGGTTTAGGGCTAGAACCCAAAACCCTAAACCCTAAACCCTAACCCTAAACCCTAAGCCCTAAAACCTAAACCAGAAGGGCTCAACACATAAACAGAGTGGACACATCAGTGCAGTGCTAGCAGCACAGAGGCTCATGGCCAGCACGTCCAACCTCTGTAAAAGTGAAAGTTTGGGGCTTAGGGTTTAGGGTTTAGGGTTTAGGTCTTAGGGGTGTAGAGGTTTAGGGTTTAGGGGTTTAGGGTTTAGTAGCCTGGGGATAAAAAAGGATACCCTTTTTGGTTTTAGGCGGGTGATAAGGGAACCCCAACCCTACAGAAAGGAAATAAGGGCCTTCTCCGGGTCCTTGTTGGGCTCGGGTTGAAGGGTTTGGGGCTTAGGGCCCGCGAGTTTCATCCCCACCCGACGCCCAAGAGCCCCCAAAGTCTGATCCTGAACAGCAAAAAATCGACTTTGAATCCTAAACCCTAAACCCTATAAACCCTAAACCCGAAACCCTAAAACCTAAACCCTAAACCCTGCACCCTAAACTTGGGGTTTAGGGGTTCCGGAGTTTGCGGGGTCTCGGGGCTTGCATTCAGGATTCACGGCATTTGGGTGTAAAGGGCCCTTGCACCTTCACCTTACCCTAAACCCAAACTTTTACAGGCACCTCTACCCCTAAACCCCGTAGAGTTCGAAATCTGAAGCCCCTAAACCCTAAACCCTAAACCCTAAACACCTAAACCTTTGGTTCTGCCTCAGCTCACTAACAGACAGATTAATAGTTCCCCTATTCTGACCAGGACCCCAGAAGAAGCACAAACACCTTGTGAGGTGTTTCAGTTTCTCACATCTATTCAGATCCCCTCCTGCCCATCTCCACAACAGGTGCTTGAGTTTGTCAGATCCCGTCCATCCAGAACATGCTCCACACCCCACCCCCAACCCACACCATAAACCCTAAACCCTAAACCCTCAACCCTCAACCCTAAACCCTCAACCCTAAACCCTAAACCCCAAACCCTAAACCCTATCTAGGTAAGCTGGGGGGCTGCGTCGGAGGTTCGGGGACCCTCGGCAAGCCACCGCTACAGCGGGCATTCACCTGCATTTCTGGGGTTTCAAGGTTTACGGCCTTTAGGGTTTAGGGTCTAGGGTTTTTAGGGATTAGGGCTTAGGGCTTTTCGGGTTTAAGGTTTAGGACCTTTAGGGCTTTTGGTGTTTAGGGTTTAGTGTTTTCAGGGGCTGGGGCTTAGGGATTTTAGGGTTTCAAGGGTTTTTAGGGTTGTTAGAGTTTTCAGGTGTGGTTCTGGGGATGAGGATCTTACGGCTTCTGGGGCCTGATGGGTGAGCGCTTGAATTTCTACTCGGAAGATCGACCCCTGAAGATCTGAAGAAGGTTACGACATCTTTGTAGGGTTTAGGGTTGGGGGTTTCGGGTTTAGGGTTTAGGGTTAGGGTTCAGGGTTTAGGGCTGAGGGTTGTTTAGAACCCGAACACCTCAACTGAGAAACTAGGGCCTTTTTGGGGCAGTGCTTGGCTCCATGGGGTTTAGGGTTTAATAGGGTTTAGGGTTTAGGGTTTAAGGTTTAGGGTTTAGGGGTGATTGGCACTGGACCCCGATTTCAGGGGAGCCCCGAAACTTGAGCCCAAGATCCCTTTCAGGGTTTAGGGCTTAGGGTTTAGGGTTTGGGGTTTAGGGTTTAGGGTTTGGAGTTTAGGGTTTAGGGTTTAGGGTTTGGGGTTTAGGGTTTAGGGTTAGGGTTTAACGTGCTTGGCCTCGTAGAGATAGGGCCGATCCAACCACACCAGCTCCTTGGACACTGTATCCGCGAAATCCAAAAAGTCGTTTACCGTCTAGTCTAGGGTTCCGAGCAAGGGCCCTGAGTTTGTTTGGGGTTTAGGGTTTAGGGTTTAGGGTTTAGGGTTCAGGGTTTAGGGTTTAGGGTTTAGGGTTTAGAGTTTAGGGTTTAGGGTTTAGGGTTCAGGGTGCCTTCTTATATAGCCCTTCTATACAGTGATAGCATAAGGGCCCATACTTCGGATCCCTACAAACAAGGACAAGGCACAATGCTAAGGGACCGCGATTGCAACCTCAGATCTAGGACCTAGGACTGTAGGTTTAGGGCTTAGAGTTTAGGGTTTAGGGCTTATAGGGTTTAGGGTTGTGGCAGCATGCCGTGATCTTTACATTGACTTTAGGGCTCTCCTACGAACGCCCGCAAACGAACAATATATGACTCGAACCCGAAGTCCACAACCGTAATTAAGTCACAAACCCTTGAACATCATGCCGACACCCCCCAAACCCTAGATCCTAAACCCTAAACCCTAAACCCTAAACCCTAAACCCTAAACCCTAAACCCTAAACCCTAAACCCTAAACCCACGGGAGAACAGCTTGGGCTCCGTGTGTGCTGCACCATTTCGCAGTCCCAGAGCCGACAGTGAGTCTTTGACCATCTGCACAACCTGCGCACCCCACCCACGAGGATGCCCCTTCATGCCCTCTGAAATTGTTCTCCCGTGGGTTTAGGGTTTAGGGTTTAGGGTTTAGGGATTATAGGGTTTATAGGGTTTAGTTCCTACTCAGAGCCCTCTTAACCCCAATAAGGGGAAAATTTGCGATGTCCCAAGGGCCTACCCAACCCAAACCCCTGTTAAGTTCCCCTGTAAAGGTCCTGGCAAGGCTTTTGGAAGCAAAACCCTCAACCCTCAACCCTCAACCCTAAGATGCAACATGTCCCAAGGGGCCTACCCAGCCCAAACCTCCAAAGCTGTTCCTGCAGAGGTCCTGGCACTGCTTTTGGAAGCCAAAGCCTAAACCTTTCTGAGTCCTAAACGCAAGGGTTTAGGGTTTAGGGTTTAGGGTGTAGGGTTTAGGGTTTAGGGTTTAGGGAAACTCAAGCAGTACAGAAGGAGCTGAGCTTCAACCTGCTTGAAAGGGACAACATCATCCTCCGCGCCACGCCCTGTAGCCTTAAACCAAAAAGTGCATCGGGTACGAGCACCTTGCAAAGCAGGGGATAGGATTCGGGGGAACCCTTGGGGATATCGACCCTCTTGAATAAGGGCCCTGTTAAAGAGAGCCAGAAGAGGGGTGAGAAGGGTCCCCTTTTAAAGGCCCCCCCGGTTATCCTGCCTAGGAAAAGGGTGGGTACGCCCTAAGCAGGCCGGGTGGGTACTTGGAGGTTCAGGGGCACTTATCACCCCAAGTATAACTGTGCTTATAAACCCCCTAAGTCCCCTAAGTGGGTTACAAGTAGACTTACAAGTGGGGCTATAAGTACCCATGAACCTCCAAGTAGGTAGGGCTTTTTGTTTAGGGTTTAGGGTTTAGGGTTTAGGGTTTAGGGTTTAGGGTTTAGGGTTTAGGGTTTTGGGTTTTTTGTTTTGGGTTCAGCCTAGGCCTTAAACCGCCCTTGCCTCCAGCAGTCGGGGCGACTCGCCCGCAAGGAATTGGACGTTGTACCTTGCTGTGGAGATTTAGGGCTCGGGTTTAGGGTTTAGGGTTTAGGGTTTAGGGTTTAGGGTTTAGGGTTTAGGGTTTAGGGTTTAGGGTTTAGGGTTTAGGGTTTAGGGTTCAGGGTTTAGGGTTACATGGTGAGGGTCCAGTGTTTCGGGTCAGTCAAGGTGCTGGGCCTAGCTTTATCGGCTACTTTGGATAGTTCTCGAACATAGATCAGCTTCGCTTGAGCAGCATGTTGTTTTATTTGAGTTCACGGCAAGTAGGGTCGACACACTGCACACGTAGAACCTGCAGATTCTGTGAGCGATGCTGCTGTCACCAGGGATCGATCTGGAACGCCATGGGTCCGTAGTATAAGAGAATCTTACTATTACTTGGGGGGTCTATATTAGGGGTGCCTCATTCCGGCAACGCCCCATAGAACCACAGCTCTGGTGGCTCTTGGTGACTTCTAAATATAATGCAGCAGCCGATCCCTGTCTGGTCGTGTGGTAGCCTCCTCAGCAGTCCTAAACCCTAAACCCTAAACCCTAAACCCTAAACCCTAACTACACCCTAAACCCTAAACCCTAAACCCTAAACCCTAAACCCTAAACCCTAAACCCTAAACCCTTCTCGCAAGCTGCGCTACCCACATGTATCAGTAAACTCCCCTCCAACTAAAGTGCTTCAGTCGAGATGTGGCCACGCGTGTGTAATTTGATGCGGAAACTCCACACTCACTCAACTTCTGTTTTTCAAAGCCTCCTAAGCCCTAAAACCCGGGTTTAGGGCTCGTGGTGTCGGGTTTAGGGTTTAGGGTTTAGGGTTTAGGGTTTAGGGTTTAGGGTTTAGGGTTTAGGGTTTCGGGTTTAGGGTTTAGGATTCCTGAGGCCCCTCAAGCCCTCATTGGAGTTGCAGGCAGCGCTGCACGAAGTGCCGTGGGCCTGGGGCCGGGCTGAGGAACTTGGCCGGTCCGTACCAGACCTTGCTTCGGGTTTAGGGTTTAGGGTTTAGGGTTTAGGGTTTATAGGGGTTTAGGGTTTAGGGTTCAGGGTTTAGGGTTTAGGGTTCAGGGTTCAGGGTCTAGGGTTTAGGGTTCAGGGCTTAGGGTTCAGGGTTTAGGGTTCCCTGCTACCCCCCTCTATGCTACCCGGGTAGTACGGGGCTTTGGGTCATGGGTTTCCCCTTGTTTATGGATCCTTAGCGTTTATGGTTTAATGTTTGGGCTTAGGGTACCCTAACCCTCTGAACCCATGATTTGGGTTGTAGAGCTTTCAGAGTTGTAGGGTTGAAATTTTTAGGGCTTAGGGTTAGGACTTTAGAGTTTTAGGAATTTTTTTGGGCTTGAGTGTGCGGGTTTGAGGGGTTTTTTTAAGTCTGTTGAATCTCAGAGCTTCAGAGTTTGGAAGTGCGGAGTTTTAGGGTTTAGGGTTTAGGGTTTAGGGCTTAGGGTTTAGCATGAAGAATCTCGGTCAATAATCCTAGCCTTCTGAGAGAGGGCCATCGTGCCTCCTAGTGCTCTTCTGCAGCCGCGGGCCCTACTCCCCGGTCCGCCAACTAGACCCAGGAGGAACCTAGGAATAAAAAGCGTGCCCATTTCTGGTTTTATGGGATTATATAAGGCCCAACCCTTAAAACAAAATCAATAAGGGCCTACTCCGGGTCCTAGCCCTAAACCCAAAACCGGGGATTGTAAGGGAACCTGCACCCTACCAAAAGGAAAAAGGGCCTACTCCGGCTTTTAGCCGAGACACGTCGGAGACCTTGTGGACGCCGTCGCGCGTCACGGTATTCACGATCCACTCCTCACCTGTGTTCACTCAGCCCAGAAAGCCGAAGACCCTAAAACCCTAAAAACCTTAATCCCCTAAACTCCTAAACCCTAAAAACCTTAATCCCCTAAACCCCTAAAACCCTAAAAACCTTAGTTCCCTAAACCCCTAAAACCCTAAAGACCTTAATCCCCTAAACCCCTAAAACCTTCATCCCCTAAACCGCTGAGGCCCTAAACCCCATCCTCCGTTACCCCCTGTCCCACAGACATCGAACACGTGCAGCCTTTTGCTGGCCTGCAACCTAAACCCTAAACCCCTAAACCCTAAGACCCTAAACCTCATATCCCTGGAGTCCAAGGATCCCTAAACGCCCTAATCCCCAATGGCTTAGACCCTATTCACCCTATTCACCCTAAACCCTAAACCCTAAACCCTAAACCCTAAACCTAACCCTGGATTCCAAGGATCCCTCAACGCCCTGGAGCCCCTTGAACAGCAAATGTGCCCGACTTCCTTCAGAGCCCCCGGCCCAGCAACGCTTGCACCTTGGATGGCTCTAGCCAAAAAACAGTTTGGCAGTTTGGGAGCTTTTAGGGTTTGGGTTTAGGGTTTAGTTTAGGGTTTGGGGTTTGGGGTTTGGGGTTTAGGGTTTAGGGTTTAGGGTTCGGGGTTTAGGGTTTAGGGTTTGGGGTCTAGTGGTGGTTTCGGGCCCAAGTGGGGTACCTGAAAAAGGCAAGGCTTGTATGAGGAGCAGCAAAGGGTAGCGAAGCTTCTAGAAAGGCCAAATAGAGCTGGGGGGGGGGGGGGGGGTGTGAGCAAAACCGGGTCTATTTAGAAGCTGGGGCTTGTGATTTATAATACAGGTCCATATACCTAAATGTAATAAACCTAGAAGAGCACGGCTTCTAAATAGACCCTACGGTCGGATTTCAAAAGGACGTTGGCAGAAATTAATAATTTTAATAATTGTAATAATTTTAATAATTTTAATAATTTTAATATTTTTAATAATCCTGAGAGGCTCCCGGAAAATTAAAATTATTAACAATATTAAAATTGTTAAAATTATTAATTTCTGCCCTGAGAGGCTCCCGGAAAATTAAAATTATTAAAACTATTAAAATTATTAATTTCTGCCATGAGAGGCTCCCGGAAAATTAAAATTATCAAAATTATTAAAATGATTAATTATTAAAATTATTAAAATTATTAAAATTATTAAAATTATTAAAATTATTAAAATTATTAGTTTCTGCCCTGAGAGGCTCCCGGAAAATTAAAATTATTAAAATTATTAAAATTATTAAAATTATTAAAATTATTAAAATTATTAAAATTATTAAAATTATTAAAATTATTAATTTCTGCCCTGAGAGGCTCCCGGAAAATTAAAATTATTAAAATTATTAAAATTATTAAAATTATTAAAATTATTAAAATTATTAAAATTATTAAAATTATTAAAATTATTAAAATTATTAAAATTATTAAAATTGTTAAAATTATTAAAATTATTAATTTCTGCCCTGGGAGGCTCCCGGAAAATTAAAATTATTAAAATTATTAAAATTATTAAAATTATTAAAATTATTAAAATTATTAAAATTATTAAAATTATTAAAATTATTAAAACTATTAATTTCTGCCCTGGGAGGCTCCCGGAAAATTAAAATTATTAAAATTATTAAAATTATTAAAATTATTAAAATTATTAAAATTATTAATTTCTGCCCTGAGAGGCTCCCGGAAAATTAAAATTATTAAAATTATTAAAATTATTAAAATTATTAAAATTATTAAAAATATTAATTTCTGCCCTGGGAGGCTCCCGGAAAATTAAAATTATTAAAATTTTTAAAATTATTAAAATTATTAATTTCTGCCCTGAGAGACTCCCGGAAAATTAAAATTATTAAAATTATTAAAATTATTAAAATTATTAAAATTATTAAAATTATTAAAATTATAAAAATTATAAAAATTATTAAAATTATTGAAATTATTGAAATTATTGAAATTTTTAAAATTTTAATTATTAATGGTTTCATAATTTCAAAAATTGTAACAATTTTAATAATTTTAATAATTTTAATAATTTTAATTTTCCGGGAGCCTCTCAGGGCAGAAAATAATAATTTTAATATTGTTAATAATTTTAATAATTTTAATAATTTTAATTTTCCGGGAGCCTCTCAGGGCAGAAATTAATAATTTTAATAATTTTAATAATTTTAATAATTTTAATAATTTTAATAATTTTATTAATTTTAATAATTTTAATTTTCCGGGAGCCTCCCAGGGCAGAAATTAATAATTTTAATAATTTTAATAATTTTAATAATTTTAATAATTTTAATAATTTTAATAATTTTAATAATTTTAATAATTTTAATAATTTTAATTTTCCGGGAGCCTCTCAGGGCAGAAATTAATAATTTTAATAATTTTAATAATTTTAATAATTTTAATAATTTTAATTTTCCGGGAGCCTGTCAGGGCAGAAATTAATAATTTTAATAATTTTAATATTTTTTCTAATTTTAATTTTCAGGGAGCCTCTCAGGGCAGAAAATAATAATTTTAATAATTGTAATAATTTTAATAATTTTAATAATTTTAATAATTTTAATTTTCCGGGAGCCTCTCAGGGCAGAAATTAATAATTTTAATAATTTTAATAATTTTAATAATTTTAATTTTCCGGGAGCCTCTCAGGGCAGAAATTAATAATTTTAATAATTTTAATAATTTTAATAATTTTAATAATTTTAAATGTACTTTTTTAGCTTAGAATCAGTAAAAACTGAAAATTTGCTCAAAGAATCCTACAACATAGTAAAAAATCGCAAAAATTGACCAATTTTGGGGGCCCGTGTAGTATAAAATCAAATAAAAAACGGTACGTGAGAATGCCTTCAGATGCAGGAGAAAAGAGTACCCAGAAACCGCGGTATCATCTCCAAAAAATGACAAAAACACACCGTACTCTCCTACGCGATCCTACGCGCTATCCTGCATTCCTTCCTCTTTGTCTTTGGTTCGGAAAAGAAAGGAACGGCTACCAGCCTCCCTCCCGACTTACATCTTTACATTCTCTTGTTTCGTCCTGCTCACCCGGAAAGAAGGTCTGCCTCCAGTCTTTCCTCGCCTCCCTGCTCACTATTATGAGTTCCTTTCACTTCTCTTCTGTTGCTTACATTCTTCTCAAAAGTGTGAAAGGTGCGGGGGACATCCCTTTCACTTTGTCTCTTCTGGGGAAATTCCCAATTGCAGGAGGCTCTCTCTCCTTGTCTTTGTTCTGTGTTCATATAGGGAATGAAGATAGAAGATGAATAAATAAGAAAGAATCATGTCTATAATGTCCTCTATCCGTGTCTCTTGTGATTTCTTCATTTCCTATCTCTGCAGATTCTTCAAAATGGAAGGCGGACTTCTTCCTCCAACCAAAAGCGACCTTCTCAAAAAGAAGACAAGAGACGAACATCAATCACCGGAACCTGACTCCTAATCTCCTGTGTTTCCTTGCCTCTTTCCTCGCTATTCTCTCTTCCTTTCTTCTTTCCCGGTGCTTACATTCCCATCAACATGAAAATTGAGGGGGCAGCGCATCCCTTTCCTTTCCCCATCAAAGAAAGGCTGCCTTCCTATCCGCGTATGTTCTTCCCTCTTCCTTCCGAAAAGACTATAAGAGGTAGGGGTAAACAGAATGAAAGAGGAGTCTCCTGTTGCTTTCCGACTACCTTCTCACCACACAAAGGAACCTTCCCACTCTTCCCTACTTTCTTTCTTTTATCTTTTTGCACTTTACGGTTCCCGCTGAGAAAATGAGACGTTTCCCACTGAGAAAATGAGACAATGATGACAATAAGGAAAAAAGATCACCTGCCTGTATTTTCAGACCTGTCCGCTGCATCTTTTCCCTTTACATCGCAGATTGAAGGAAAGCAAAAAAGTCAGAGGGAAGAATCCCTTTCCCTACCTTTCCCAGTACATTCCTTGTGCTTTCCATGTTCTTTGGAATTGCTTTGTTCTTCAGCAAGGAAAAGCGCAACTTCCCTCTCAATTTCATGTTTCCATTTCTCCGATGTCTTTTTCATTCAAGAAGCAAGCGGAGGGGCTGCCTCCTGTGTTTCCTTGCCTCTTTCCTCGCTATTCTCTTTTCCTTTCTCTTCTCTCTTGGTGCTTACATTCTTATGAAAAACGTGAAAGTTGTGGGGGCATCCCTTTCGCTTTCTCTCTTCTGGGGAAATTCCCAATTGCAGGGGGCTCTCTCTCCTTGTCTGTCTTCTTTTCTCATACATAGGGAAAGGAGAAAGAAGATGAAGAACTAGGAAAGAATCATTTCCACACATTCCTCTATTCCTACTGTCCGGAGATTGGCAAGCTTTCGGAAGCTCTGGTCTCTAGTCACGCCTGACCAAAGTCAACTTCCCGTGCGTGAGGGCCATATGTGAGGGGCCAGGAGGGGGGCAGAAAGTCCGGAATATGGTAGTGTTTCGAGTTTCAAATTCGTTTCCATAGTTTCAAATTAGTCTCAAGTCAGTTTCAAACTAGTTTCAAAATCCAGTTGAAATATCGCTGTTAAGGAGGAGCTGCAATTTCTGTCCGCGCTTGTTGAAAACCAGAACCTCTAGAGATTCCTGCATTTTTTGCAATTGCGCGTAGAAAAACGCAGTTTCCCCTTAACAACGAATTCGCAACTGGATTTTGAAACTGTTTTGCAACTAGTCTGAAACTACAGAAACGAATTTGAAACTTGAAGAACGCAGCATTTCTGCTCCCTGGCGCTTGGCCACGCCCAAGCAAGAGGAGGCTAGAAGCCGCGGCTCGCGAAACCAGCAACAACTCTTGCCAAGGCAGCCACGCAATCACAAGTCAGTAAATTATCTTGTCTGAGACTGTGTCTCTTCTGAGTTGTTCTATTCCTTTCTCTGCATCCTTTCTTCTTCTCACTTGTCCTTTCACTTTTCTTTTGTCTCTTCTCACTCCAACCAAAAGGGAAATCGCAAGGGAGTCATATAGGGAAAGGAGACAACGTGAAGAAATAAGAAAGAATCATTTCCATATTGTCCCCTATTCCTGTCTCTAAATCTGCAGATTTTTCAGAATGGAAGGAGGGCTTCTTTCTCCCTCTCACTTTTCCTTTCGCTTTTCTTTATATTTTCTCACTCCAACCAAGCAGACAAGGGAGAGGGGTGAGAGATAGAACGCCCTTTACCTTCTCAAAACATAGAGAGGTGACGAAAATCAATCACGGAAACCTATCCTGCCTTCCTTCCTCTTTGTCTTTGGTTCGGAAAAGAAAGGAACGGCTACCAGCCTCCCTCCCGACTTACATCTTTACATTCTCTTGTTTCGTCCTGCTCAACCGGAAAGAAGGTCTGCCTCCAGTCTTTCCTCGCCTCCCTGCTCACTATTATGAGTTCCTTTCTCTTCTCTTCTGTTGCTTACATTCTTCTCAAAAGTGTGAAAGGTGCGGGGGACATCCCTTTCACTTTGTCTCTTCTGGGGAAATTCCCAATTGCAGGAGGCTCTCTCTCCTTGT